ATAGTTTTTTCTATATGTGTAATAAAATAAGATAATGATCATGATCATGATTTGCATAAACAAGATCTATAATTCTTCCAAAAGTGTTTTAACATCATTATATTGCCCCAAATTACATAAATCTGAAAATGACAAAAGTTGACTGCTCTTCTTATCATTAACATTACAAAATAAATTTGGCGATTTAAAATCTCCTAATATTAGAGTGATTCTACAAAAGTTGGTCAACTTGATGTCATCAGTCAATAGAGTTGGTATTTTAATATTTTTTGTAAATATTTTAGTATATTGCAAAAGATCCAGGTTTTTTTTAAAAGCACGTTTGTAGAAAAACATAATAAATATTCAAAACATCAGTACCTTGGCGTGTCACAACTCCTGAATCAAATATTTGAGTGATTTTATTTTAAAATATATTCAATTTATCTTTTTTTTTTATATTTTATCATAGATTCGAATAATAGTAATTTTTAAAAAATTGATAATCTTTGTAATCACTTTTACCCGTCAGTTCTGTGTCCAATTCCTGCGAAACATTGAAGTTTAAACGTCAAGTCCTCGTTTTAAGTGTTGGTAAAAAAATTACCTACAGAGCCCGCCCTTTGCACGACAGTCATCTTGAAAACAATGCAAGCAGCGAAGTTGTGGTGAATGCACGTATAGTTCCAGTCAAAATTTCAGTACTGTGGTAAGTAGTTATTTTCTTACGTATATATATTTCATTGTAATTTATATAAGGCTATATGTGATTTGTTGATAACTAGCATTCACTAATAAAAAATATCAGTAAAATACTTAATTCCGAATTATAACCTCAAATTTGTATCCCATTCATCATGTTTCGGTTATCTTTTTTTTGCAAACTTCAATTTTATTTCTGCTTGCGCAAAACTTGTTTATTTAATGTCAGTATAAACTCATATAAATTTGGTGTGGGTCCCATATCTAATAATTGAGATATCGGTATACCCAAAATCCACTAGCCGCCACTGTTGTGTGGTATTATTTGATTTTAAGATATTTAATGTATAATATGCTCAAAGTTGCAATAAATCTTATATTTTCCAATAAATTATGTATTTAATTAGTACCCTGGTATACTCGTCACTTCCCTTGCAGTCAAATTTAGAAAACACAGATATTTCATAAACTGTTTGAAAAAGGGACTGGAACAGTATATTTATTATATTATCAATGTTCTCATAACAAAATACTGTTTAATTTTCTCCGAAAACTATATAAACAAAATGAGGTCAAAAGTTTTGTAGAATCACCCATTAGTCATCATATGCTTTAATTACATTACTTAGCAAATCAATAAAAAGTCTTCTGTGCTTATAAAGGGTGTCAATGTTTGATAGGCGGCTATGTCTAAGTCAGTACAGACACAGCTGTCAAATATTTTAAAGTTTCGTTGGCATATTATGACATTTGATAATGGAGCGTTACACGGTTGCTCAACGCATTCAAATTATTCAAATTTACCAACAAAATCAATGTTCAATTCGCCTAACGTTTCGAGCATTGCGTGCGATTTATGGTCAGCATGAACGTTCTGCAGAGTCAACTATTCGCCGCCTCATAAATAAATATAAAACAACTGGTTAAGTGCGCGACCAAGCAACACCCATACGTCAACGAAGGTTCAGAACAATTGAAAATATTGCCGTTGCCGTTGGCAACGGCCCGTTGCTTGAGAATCCGAGGCAGTCGATTCGTCGACGTGCGCAAGAAGCTGGCATTTCGAAGAGTTCAACTTTACTATTCTGCGTCGGGACCTAAAATTTTATCTATACAAGATTCAATTGACGCAAGAACTAAAGCCGCAAGACCACGGACTACGCCGCACATTTGCCGAATGGGCTCTAGAGCAGTTGGCGACCGATCCAGCTTTAGGAAAAAAAGTCATTTTCAGCGACAAAGCGCATTTTTGGATGAACGGCTATGTAAACAAACAAAACTGCCAAATTTGGGGCGATCAGAACCCTCAAGTAACCCAAGAGATTACCATTGTGGGCGGCTGGTGTTATTGGCCCGTACTTTTTTGAAGACGAACGTGGCGCAGCGCTAACCGTCAACACCAAAAATATATTTTATAAGTGTTACTGCTACCAAATTAAGACTTGAAATTATTATCATCTCCGGAGTTTTTTTCTGCGTTTTCATATTTGGGCTCAGGAACATTAAATACTATTATTTTTTTGCGCTTTTTATCCCTTGCTGAGATTTTATTAATAATTTACTTACAGCATTCTTCATTAAACTCTTTATTAAGTTCTACTAGATTGAAGTTTTTTTATTTTAACTTAAACATTTACTATGGCAGCTTTTAGTAAATTAATATCATTGCCTATTTCACTACAGTTATTACAGTTCCAGTTGATATTAGGTACGATTGGTTTTAATTGATCTTGTTTCTGTTGATGAAATCCCAAGCAGCTATTTAGAAAGCAGCAGCACTATAAGATGATCATTAACTGATTCGAAACAGCAACAAGTTAATTTTGGCATACTTGCAAATTCAGGTTTATTTAACACAATTTTAACCAAAGACTTATTTCACTTTCAAAAGCAATAAAAGTTTTTTATCATGGACTAATATTCTTACTACTGACATGCACTGTTGCCATTTGCCTTATCATGATCGATAAATATATTCTTTTCTAAACCCCTGTTCATTTCTTCTTGGTAATCCCATGTCTTTTTGGATTCAAATTTTCAATCCGGGAGAGAGTCCATCTAGAAAAGCCTTTCTGTATGAAGTTACAGTTTCATCAACCCATACGTTAGATATGTCCTGCATTAACCCATGTTTCGTTTAGGTATTATAATAATTTTTTCTATCCTGTATTCTGTACAATTTTATATTAGTCTAATACTCTCTTACTTGAAAAAAGACATCTTTGGTGATATGTTAAACAAATATTAGAAATATTCCCCAACACCAAAACAAAACACAAAGTGCTTAAAGTACTTTTCGCAAAGGATGTTTGCATGTTCAGAGTTACACTTCGCTTTCGAGATGGTAACATCGTTGACGAAAAGTACTTTAAGAACTTTGTGTTTTGTTTTGGTGTTGGGAAATATTTCTAATATTTGTTTAGATACTCTCTTCTCTATAGCAAAATTTCGTCTATCTACCAATAAGGTATTCCGTCCTAGCTTTTGCCGTTTAAAATTTTAATGCTTTAAAATGTAGCTTGTTTAAAATTTGGCAACATGTTATCTATATTTACTCCCTTCAATACGTTATTGATTGTCGGTATTTCATTTCGGATGCCAATCGGCATCATCCAATGATTTTATAATTGTTTTACGTACTTCATTGGGTTTCGGCTCGGATAACATACCATTTTTTTGGACTCTCTTATTACTTTAAAGACTAAAGAATGGCTTACTTCAACTTTGCGTGCGACTTTTAAAACAACATCATTAATACTGATTTCCTTGTTTTCTTCCATTTCTATTTTATAGACGTTTAAAATTACCTCTATCATCTCCATAATTATTTTTTTTATAGTTTCCTAGGTGGACTTAAATTCACTTCACCAGCTGTGTCCGTACTAGATATTGCAATGACAACAGTAAAAACAAATAACAACAAATACTAATATGTTATTAATAACTAATAGGTAACTAATTGTTTTGGTCGTCATCTTATCTTATCTAGCTATGGGCCAATAAACTAGTTTTGCTCAGGTAGGAAGTTTGACAGGTGTGCGTTAAAGCTTTTGATTTGGGACATTTTAGCAATTTTGAGAACATGAGAGCTTAACTGCTTAGAAAACTAAATGTATGCTGAATGTTTGTATCACCTATTCAAAGCTGTAAGTTTGGTAGCTGTAAACAGCATCGGAGCTGTTCAAGTGTCACTGACCCTGCAGATATTCTAGAGTCAAGGTTTAAACAGTTAAAATTTAGTCTCGAAAAATGGTTTTCTACTTAAGAAGTAGTGCTACACAAACAGGCACCGAAAGACAGCCTGTTTCGGTCTTATTAGACCTCATTAGTGCCGGATAGCCGTTGTGTGTAAGCATAGTCGAAACAGCTGTCTAGTGCCTTATATAGGAAACAAGTAATGTTATTATTTTTGCATCACCACATTTAATCATTTAAGCACGTCAACCAATATTTTACAGTTTTTAATTTTATTCATTTATACAGGGATTCTACCATAACCTCAAGAATATTATTTGTAATTTTAAACTGAATGCTTTTTTACAATTCAGTTTTTATTATAATAAAAGTCAGTTTGTTGACAACATAAATTTATTTAATACATATAACATTTAACAACAATATACAGGTCACGATACAGGATGTTTCCATATATCATGTTTATAGGATATGTTTAGCTAGTACACATTTATTTGTAAATACGTATTTTTATGTATACAATTACAAGCCTTTCTGTGTGTTACAATTAATCACAAACCATTCATATTCAAGAACATATTGACGACAGTAGATCACTTCAATTCTGAAACAAAAATGTAATCAATTAAAACTAATAAACTAGAGTTAATTTTGTAAAGTTAATTTATATGTGATATGTTCTTACCATGAGAAGATATCCAAGTTCATCAGACCACTCTTCTAACAAATTCCGTATGAACTAAAAAAACCCACCGTCAGTATGTTTTGTTAAAGCTGCTCATACACTATACACACAAACACATGTTTTTAATTCCACTAAGTAAAGCATTTTTAACACGAAATTTCAAGTACATAGTGCTTTACTAGTTCTCTAATATGGTGCTCTGTAAAACTTTGGTGACAGTCTTTTTACAAAAAATAATGCGAGACACAGTAAAAAGTATAACAAAGAAAGGAGTAATTATTTAGTGTTAAATTTTTTACAAAATATTAAAAAGTAAAAATGACCTATTTATTTACATAGAACCGATTATCATTATTGTGGAGCTGGCACCACTTCCTTTAATTACTATATTTTTTACTGTGTACAATTTCTTAAACATTTTTATATTTTATGTCTTTACCTGACTGGCGTATGAGACGGCATCATTGTTAAGGGGCTTGGCGACGGAAATTTTGACAAGTCCCTTCGGGGCGCTCTTTAATACTTGTACAGCCCTATCTAGAGAGGCGTTGGCAACGTCGATTTCGTTTACCGCCATAAGACGGTCGCCTGGGATCAGTCTGCCATCCGACTGCGCCACTCCTCCAGGCACCAGCGATCGGATTACTATCACAGTGTCTTTACTATTCAAGGGATCCTAAAAATTAATAGTTTAGTAAGTTTTTGGGTTTTTTTTACATATTTTTTAGTTAGTTTAGTTATACTAACTCGCAAAATTGCGGGAGTTATTTCATTTTTAAAGCCACCAATGAGAGCTTTATCAATCGAGTTTTTATTATATTTTTTGTTTGCAAAAGAAGCCAATATTTTATCATTGGGAAAAGTAAACAAAAACAAATTTATTGCGCTGGGTTAAAAGGCGGGGCCGCTCTATAAAGCAGAAATACTGCGCTTTCATTGGAGGCCTTAAAAATTAAATATCCTGCAATTTGCGAATTCAAAAAAATCCTAAAAGAAAACTCGTCTTGAAATTTTAAGAGAAACTAACCTTTACCCTTTGAGGCGCCAATTTTGTTATCCTACCAATTATGGGACACCCTTATTGGCGGCCTTAAAAAGCTTTTGCAATTTTGCGAATTTGAAAAAATGATAAAGAAAAGTTCGTCTTAGGTTTAGCAAGGAATTAACCCCTTTTATTTGGTCTGATGATTTTGAGACAGCCAGTATATATTTTAATATTTATTTTCTTGTCAAATTACTAATTTATAACTACTAATGGTCATACGGGGAAGGGGGTCGAAATATTTATGGAAAAGAATGACTAGGGGTAGGAGGGGTCATTAACTACTTGAGGTCATGGGTAGACATAAAAAAAGTTTAAATTTATATTTATAATGGTTATTAGTTTTTTTTATATTGGCTTGTGTCTTTGTACATGTACATGTTTTTTTTCTCCAGTTTCTATAAGAGATTGTATTTACGTGGCCTTATAATTAATAATTAATAAAAATCTAAGTACTGAAAATAATACTTTGAATTTGACACGTAAATAACCAAACTCGCTTGAGAAAGTATAGTAAAACAAAATTCAATCCAAAAATGTCCAAGTAGGATAACGCTTATATTGACTGAAAATGCAATAGCATAAATAATAATTAGAGTTATAAATCGTATTACTGTACGGCAAATATTTTTTGCATTTAAATATTTAATTTTATATAAAATGTTTTAATGTTATATTTTATAATAAAATGTTCAATATTATAATAAAACGTTATAAATATTAATAAATAAAATATTTTAACAGTAAAGGAATGCAACATCCTTGGATCTCTATTGATACCTGATAGTCCAAAATGGAGAATCCCAGACCATGTTCTCCTTTATTCAGCTCCACAACAGTGGGTTCGCTGCTCCACATTGGCAACCCTGCTATTAGTTCCAGGGATCTAGATTTGCTCGTCGAGCAGGCTTCGCTTGGGATGCTTGAACCAATGGACGTCTCTGATTTCGCCTTGACCAGTCTACTGGCTTCGCTGACAGGTATTAAGGTTTGTAGACTGCCTGCTAGGATTTTCTATAAAAGTTATATAAAGTAAATAATAGGTTTTTAAAGAATGTTTTTTTACTTACTCTCGCTTGAAATGCTTCTCTATGTTGCGAAGTATCTATAACTCTTGTAGGAACTTGGTATCTAGCACAAACTAAACTTACAACACTTGGGAGTTGCTTTAATATCGATACTACTTCCAGATGGTTTAATCCAAGAAGTAATATACCATTAACCTATAAACATGCTATTGTTACTTCATTAGTTTGTTTAAATTTATAATACATAGAGTTACAAAATCCTGCATACATGGACTGGTAAATTACCAGTGGTAATGCTTGTAAATGCTTGTAAATCAAATACCTTAATCGGTGAAAGAGCTGTCAGTTTTATTATTATTTTACTACTTATTATTTTAATACTTACATCTGTACCTCAGAGCCAAGCTATAACAAATCCAAAAAGCTGATCAAACCACAGAATATTCTGTGGGTTTGATAGAAATCAAGCTATAAGATGATTTAAGATGAAAATGCCGTGTTTTAAATCTCTCCTTCAAACATCAGGTTTTTGGACTTGTCCTACATTGGGTCCGGGGTACCGATAAGTACATACCCAGCAAACACAACCGTAAAGGTTCTATAATGGCCCTTTATAAACGTGCATTAATGAACTAAGGGCCCTATAAAGGCTAAAAAAATAAGCTGTTGAAACAACAAAAATATTAATTCAACTCTTTATGCACTTTAAATACAAGCAATGGTTTTTGCACGTTTACTTAACCATCTAAAAATGTCAAATTGTATTGTTTAATTGAACAATAAATATCAGTCAAATGAACAAAATGAGAATATTTGTTCTAATCTGCTAATTTGGTTAATTTAACATTCTTAGGGTGTTAAGGTAAATTTCTTGAAATGTCTAGGTAACCTTTTTAGCATATTCACTTAACACCAAAAAAATGTTAAATTAAAATAATTTGCGCTAATGTTCCAAAACGTTTGGGTTAATATTCTGAAAATGTAAAAGTTGAATTCTAAATAAATAGAAAGAATTGAACCCTCACCTCGACAGAGTTTTTGTTTTGAGTGCATTCCACCTACTATAAAACCGACAGACAGCTGTTTCGACCTATATTGGGGGTCTTATCAGTGTCGGGCAATTTGGTGTAGTGGAAGTTCCACTGTGGAACCATAGATGACACCCAAAACAAACAACCACCTGAGCTTATATACCTTATATCGTAAGCCAACTGTGGCGAGATGTAAGAACACGTGATCAACACTGTCTAATGACGTGGCGTGGGTGTTCGAAGCGCCCTTTATGGCAATTTTATGAATGCAAATTAAACATTTTAAAGTAACATTTAAAATTTGTTAAATGAACAAATTTAATGTTTTGGATTAAAGAGAAACTAAACGTTAATTTAATAGTTTTTTTAGGTAATCCTAAAAATTTCAGTATTTGATTCAACCAATTCCAGCTATCAAATCAAAATAGTATAAACATTTTAATTCAAAAAATTAATTTATGTTAAATCAATATTTTAATTGTCAATTGAACAAATAAACTTTGACAAACTCTGACTATTGCTTTGACACCAAAATATAGATTAATCCATGGATTAATCCAAAAGGTTTTTTCATGAAACAACATTTTCAAAAATGACATTCAGGTAAACGTTAACTCAAGTACATTTTTTTTTTCGGTGTAATGGAACTATTCATATTATATCGCGTTCACCTTTAATGGGCAGTCAATAAAGAACCATTCCATTCCATTTTTTGATATGGTGCGCTAAAGTTTCTGATATGGCAGATTAAAGGTACTAATGTGGCAAGCTGAAGTTTCTGATATGGGGTGTAAAAGATTCTATAGTGGTTATTTAAATAATTTTTAATGGATGAGTGAAGTGGCTATTATGGTGTATTAAATGTGGTAGGTACACTGAAAAAAATAAATTTAACTCTTTATGCACTTTAAATACAAGCAATGGTTTTTGCACGTTTACTTAACCATCTAAAAATGTTAAATTGTATTGTTTAATTGAACAACAAATATTAGTCAAATAAACAAAATGAGAATATTTGTTCTAATCTGCTAACCTGGTTAATTAAACATTCTTGATATGTTGGAGTAATATTTCGAAAATGGTTGTGCTAACATTTTTAAGATGTTAAGGTAAATTTCCTGAAATGTCCAGATAACCTTTTTAGCATATTCACTTAACACCAATAAAATGTTAAATTAAAATAATTTGCGCTAATGTTGGGTTAATTAAATTATGGAATTCATATAAAGAGAAAGAATTGAACCTTCCCTCGCCAGAGTTTTTGTTTTGAGTGCGTTCCACCTACCTCAAATACCTACCGACAGACAGCTGATTCCCCCTATATTGAGGGTCTTATCAGTCACTGATAATCAGTGTCGGGCAATTTGGTGTAGTGGAAGTTCCACTGTGGAACACACCGAAAACAAACGGCTACCTGAGCTTATATACTCCTATCGTAAGCCAACTGAGGCGAGACGTAAGAACATCACGTGATCAACACCGTCTAATGACGTGACGTGGATGTTCGAAGCGCCCTTCACGGCAATTTTATGAATGCAAAATTAACAAATTTTAAAGTAACATTTACAATTTGTTAATTGAACAAATTTAATGGTTTGGATTTAAAGAGCAATCAAACGTTAATTTAATAGTTTTTTTAGGTAATCCTAAAAATTTCAGTATTTGATTCAACCAATTCCAGCTATTAAATCAAAATAGGATAAACATTTTAATTCAAAAAATTTGTTTATGTTAAATCAATATTTTAACTGTCAAATGAACAAATAAACTTTGACAAACCAAATTTTGAACAAAATATAGATTAATCCAATAGGTTTTTTGATGAAACAACATTTTCAAAAATGACATTTAGGCAAACGTTAACTCAACTACATTTTTTTTTGGTGTATAGGTATACCTAACACATTTAATCCACCATAATAGATACTTCACTTATCCATTAAAAATTATTTAAATGAGCACTATAGAATCTTTAACACCCTATATCAGAAACTTCATATTATATATTAGGTAAGGATATTCCACGATAATTAGAAATTGTTATCCCTACCGTCATAATACAATTACGGACGGTCGGAATAAGAGTTTCCGATTATCGTGGAATATCCGACCCAATAAATATAAACAAACCACATTTTTATTAAGTAATAATCCTTAAACTAAGTAGAAAATATTTAATATTAAAATATATATTTACAAATAAGTTTACTTGATTTTTGTAGTAGATTGTCCTCTATAACAAAGAAAATTATTTGGCGGTATTTTTTCTGTAATAAGAGTTCTAAAATTTGTAATTTTAAAAATTAGGTATTATTATTTTTTATGTGGTATAATACACTATTAAAACTATAGGAATTACACTGGACGTCATTTTTAAAATATGGCATTAAACAAAGGATAATTAAAGGTGCATGTAAGTTTTATATATAGAAAACATTTGGCACTTTAATGGTTTTTAAGTCCCATTAACTTGATACTGAAAATTGCCATATATGGGTCTTTAATGGTCAAATATACAAATATTAGCCTGAAAAGGGCCATTGCATAATCTTATTGCGACAGCCTTTCATCAAAATTAATATTTTTATTAAAACATTCCTGTAAAGGCCCAGTACTAGGAAAGCTTTGGCTAAAAATGCCATTATTAAGCCATGAAACTATGTAATGGGCCATTACATAATCAGACTTAAGTCTTATGTGTTTGCTGGGTACATACTTGAAAACTCTTTAAGCAGGGTTTTTGTTTTGAGATTGTATTTTTTGTAACTTTACCTCTAAAAGTTCGTCTCCAGACTGAAGGATGCCGCTTAATCCAACAGGACCATCAGGTAGGATGTTTCTTATGTAGTGGTGCGGACGGACTTCCTTTCCATCTTCCACATCGACTGTACCTTCTAGACTTATTCCCAGGCCTTTGGCGAGCTCTTTTTGCATTTCAGCAATCTAAATAAATATTAGGAAATTTGCTGTTATCTTAATATTCAGGTATTTATGACGTTTTATGGTTAGTATTGGTCTGAAAAATTAATTCACGGCCCATACGACTCCTGCGCCATCTACTAGTAACACAGTCCAAAATTTGCTGTTATCTTAATATTCAGGTATTTATGACGTTTTATGGTTAGTATTGGTCTGAAAAATTAATTCACGGCCCATACGACTCCTGCGCCATCTACTAGTAACACAGTCCAAAATATACGTGTTGGAAGAAGTAAAATTATAGGCGTTGTCTTCTTTTTGCATTACAAATGAAAATTACGCTGCTAAAGCAGAAGACATGATTTTTCTTTTATTGGTTGGAGCAGTAATTAAAAACAAAGTTGTCAAACTAAACAAAAACTTGCTAATGTATTTGACTATATAATACGATGGAAATAATTCCCATCGTATTATATACTAGGAATTATTCATAATAAATCTCGGTGGGCACCATAAACTATTAGCGATAAAAAAATCAGATGATATGCGCCATCATCAAGTTTTAGGAGAAATGATTTTTTGCTCAAATTCTTTCACATGACGTATTCACTCAGATGTTTACCTGTTTGGGTTTCTCCAACACCATCATAGAAAGTAAATAAGATTACTTTTGTTCGAGATGTGTATTGGTTTTTCATCAAATCAAATCAAATCATTTATTGGTGTTATTTACAAAAGGTTGTATTGCACAAGTCAAACAGAAAAGAAATACACATAACATAGATGTATATAAAATAGAGCAAAAACACTCATAACACAAAACATTGCATGTATAAAAGAACATTTATCACAGAGTTCATATATCACAGTTTAAAAATTCATCACAGTCATAAAAAGCCTTAACATTTAGGAACATCTTAATTCAAAGCTCAAAATTTGACATTTTTTTGCTTACCACAATTTCAACGCTGGGGTCGAACTCTTCCCGCCATTTTTCGTATATCGATTCGTGACTTGCTATGCTAAATTGTAACGATCGATTTCCATCGATAACGATTTCTTTTTCTTCTTCATTTCCTCCTGTATCAGTTTCCATAAGGATAATGGAATCAAAATCCATACTTGTTCGTGAATCGGCCTCAGGTTCTATCCCCAAATAACTCATTTGCTAAAAAAATTAATTTACTTTATTAATTACATAAAAAAATAAATGTAGATAAAAAAACTTTTTTCAAAAAATAAATTTGGTAGAGTGTCGCCATGTTAGGTTTATATGCCATTATTTTAGCTTGCCATAACTTTTTTATTTAAGCTAATCGCAATTAATCGCAAATTAATTTTACTTTGTCATTACATTAGATTGTAAATTTAGTATGTCGCTTTTTTAGCTTGTTGTCATTATACCTTTCGTAATTTTGTTTTGCTATTATTTTACACTTTCGTCAACTAGTTTGATGATATTAGCTTGTTGGCATTTATTTTGTCGTAACATGTCGTTACTTCATTTTGCAGTTATTTGGTCATTTTAGCTTTTTGTGATTTTAATTTGTTATCAATTAGCAAAGCGTGTTATACTAGATTGGGCAAAAAAAATCAACAATTTTTTTTTAAAGTATATCGAAAGTATGGTTTGGCGTGACAAAAAAAAATTATTGTGAAAGTTTGAGTCCATAATATTAATATTAAGAGGTCGTAATTTTAAATTTTTTTTCCTCAGCAAGTTTTTGTCTCAGAACTCCCAAACTATTTAGTTTAACAAAATTGACTCATAAATATTTTTTTAAAAAAATTAAATGATCTACAAAAAAGGGTAAAATGAAATGTTCCGTCAGATGAACCGTTTCCTTAAAATCATGCCTTAAAAATTGGTATAGTTTTACATTTTCATCTTTTAACTTCTTATGGGAAATCAAATGCTTTACAAAAAAGCCCCTTAAAATTTTTGGCTAAATTCACTCAATCAAAAGTTATTCAAGGTTAAAGTTGAAGTCAAAACGAAATTCTTGTTTTTTCCTCTGTAGATTTATTTTTTTATGAATGATAATTCGATTTTTTTTCCAATAAAAAACAACAGGGTTGTTATTATTTAAACCTATAGGTAACAGTGAAAATAATATTTTCTTAAGAAAAAAGCTTCTTAAAGCGAAAAAACTCTAATGTGTAATTTTTTTTAATTTTTAGTAATTTTATCAATAACGTAAAGATTATCATCGTTAAAAGAATTCAAGTTTTTAACTAGAGCGGAAAAACAAGAATTTCGTTTTGACTTCAAATTTAACCTTGAATAACTTTTGATGGAGTGAATTTAGCCAAACATTTTAGGAGCCTTTTTTGTAGAGCATTTGATTTCCCATAAGAATATCTATCGGTTTTTTTCCCGAAAAAAGATCAAATTGTAAAACTATACCAATTTTTAAGGCATGATTGTAAGAAAACGGTTCATCTGACAGGAAATTCCAATCAAACCTTTTTTGTAGAACATTCAATTTTCTTCAAAAAATATTCCCAAGTCAATTTTGTTAAACTCAATGGTTTGGGAGTTCTGAGACAAAAACTCGCTCAGGAAAAAAAAACTAAAATTGCAATGATAGACCTCTTAATATTAATATTATGGACTCAAACTTTCACCATAATTTTTTTTGTCACCCTAAACAATATTTTCGATATACTTTACAAAAAAAATAGTCGATTTTTTTGGCCCAGTCTAGTGTTATACAGGTTTCGAGCATTCGTGTGAGCGCTTTTATGCATGCAAAAAGCCAAACTGTATGCAACTTTTAGGCTATATACGTGCATCCAGGCATCTGGATCCGCACGTATTAACCTTAAAGTTCTAAAACTGTCAAGAGGCACGTTTGTTGTTGGTAAGAATTCTCATTTTTGTTGATCTCGGCATAAAATTTTAAAGTTTATCATCTAGGGCATCAACGACACTGATTACGGTGAAGCGTGTAGTTTACAGTTATATAATTGATTATACTAAATTTATTGAATGATACAAAGGATTAACACAAATTGACCGAAGAGCAACTTCAAGAATTGCAAGCATTACGAGCAGAACTTTGAGAATTCAACACGAACAGAACTTCAGATGAATCGTTTCGTTTTATCGATTGTTTCTCAAAATCCAAATTTCTCGAGCAAACATATAAATGTAGGAATTTTGTAATTAATAAACATCACTTATTTCAAACAGTCAGAAAAAGTGGTTCCATATATAGCATTTACCCGAAATCAGTGTAGGTCACTGTATAATAAATTCATGGCAAACTCAAGAATTCTAATGTAAGTACATAATTATTAAATACAACATAGTATACAACACGGCGGATAAAGCATATTATTTTAAATATTAATATCTTACCACCAAGCTTAGAGGAACTTTAGGCAACGACGACACCGAAGGCGAGGGTGGCGATGGCGGCCTTAATTCGTTCGCCCTTATCGCCATCTGAAGTTGCTCGTACTTCGGACCCCTGAGGTACCTCTCCACTTTGATGGACACCACAGAGCCCGTTCTGCGAAGCACTTCAACAGCTTGGTGATTGGTGAAACCCACCACTGAAGTTCCGTTAACTTCCACTATTCTGTCGTTGATTTTTATGTTTTTCGTTAAGTCCGCCGCACTGCCTTTGCTGATGCTTTTCACAAATATTCCTGATATCTCTTCTAAAAAAGTAAAAAACACATTTAAAAAATACCATGCAATAATTGTAATCATGCATTTTTGCAAATGGGTCATTCCACGTTACTCGGGGATTTTTGTCCCGCCCGTCACAATTAAAAATTGTGAGTAAAAACTATACGTTATAAAATTTATTTTAAAATAGTGTTTTAGTATAATTTTAATATGTTATACATACAATAAAAATAATATTATAAAATAATAATTTTATAACTTGTGGTTTTTACTCACAATTTTTAATTGTGACGGGCGGGACAAAAATTACCGATTAACGTGGAATGCCCCAAATATCAGTATTTAGCTAAAAGTATTTTACCGTTTTTTTAAATATCGTCATTTTATTTTTATAATTAAGTTAGACGATATTTTAAAATGTCCTCTATTGAAAAATAAAATTTCATCAATAGCTTTATGTCATTTAATCTTAGTTTGTCGTCATTTTATCAGGTCGTAGTTCGAGTCGTAGTTTTAGATCGTTGTTTTCTTAGCTTGACGTCATTTAGTCTCTCGTTATTATATTATGAAGTAATTTTAGCTTGCAATCATTTTAGATGGTATTATATTGTATTGTCTTTTTTGGTGGTTAACTTCATTATATCATGTCATTGTTTTAGCTTGATTCGTATTATGTCGTAATTTTAGCTTGCCATTATTTTATATCACCATTCTAGATTGACGTGATTGTCATTTTACCATTTTAGATTTTTCCCACTTTAGTTTGTCGTCATTAAGCTCGTCATTATTTTATCTTGTCATTATTTTACTTTAGATTATATTTTCAAGTAAACTGCTCGTCATAAAAATCGACGCACCTAGTTTTTTGGAAAATATTTGAAAGCTCGTTATAGAAAAATTACTGAATCGATTTTGAAAATCTTTGAAAATTCTGAATAGCTGATTCTTTGACTTTTAAGTCTAATTTTGGGAATACGATATTTTGCACATAGCATTATACTACAGGGTGTTAAACGAAGAGATGTATTTTTTCAAAAATTTTAAGTTATTCCCATTCATGAGGCAGTTGAGTTTAATAGTCGTAATATCCCTCCCTAATATAAGTAAGGTAATCCCTCGGAACGTTTTCGAGATTTTGTGAATATCGAGGCTTACTACGATTATATGCCAATTTTTAGAAAATTGTCGTTTTTTTTCAGTTTAGTCCAAAAAATGAGCAATAGTGGATTCTTTGACTTATGTACGTCTAATTTTGACAATAAGATATTGTGCACATAGCATAATACTACAGGGTGTTAAAAAAAAGAGATGTTTTTTTCCAAAATTCCAAATCCCCATTCACAGGGCAGTTGATCTTGATAGTCCTAATACTCCTCCCTAATAACAGTTAGGTAATACCTCGGGATATTTTCGAGATTTTGTGGATATCTTGGCTAACTACGATTATACGGCAATTTTTCAAAAATGCACGTTATTCTTCATTTTAGTCCAAAAAATGAGCAATAGTTGATTTTTTGACTCTTATGTCTAATTTTGGGAATACGATATTATGCATATAGCATGATACTACAGGGTGATAAAAAAATAAGTGTTTTTTTTACGAAATTCCAAATCCCCATTCACAGGGCAGTTGATCTTGATAGTCCTAATACTTCTTCCTAATAACAGTTAGGTAATCCCTCGGGACATTTTCGAGATTTTGTGGATATCTTGGCTAACTATGATTATATGTCAATTTTTCCAAAATTTACGTTATTATTCATTTTAGTCCAAAAAATGAACAATACTTGATTTTTTTACTCTTATGTCTAATTTTGGGAATACGATATTGTGCACATAGCATGATACTACAGCGTGTTAAAAAAGGAGATGTTTTTTTCCAAAATTCCAAATCCCCATTCACAGGGCAGTTGAGCTTGATAGTCCTAATACCCCTTCCTAATAACATTTAGGTAATCCCTCGGGTCGTTTTCAAGATTTTGTGGATATCTTGGCTACGATTATATAGCAATTTTTCGAAAATTCTGCTTTTTTAACACCCTGTATTATCATGCTATGTGCACAATATCGTATTTCCAAAATTAGACATAAGAGTCAAAGTTCAAGTATTGCTGATTTTTTGGACTAAAATGAAGAATAACGTGAATTTTTAAAAAATTGCCGTATTATCGTAGTTAGCCAAGATATCCACAAAATTTCGAAAACGTCCCGATGGATAACCTAACTGTTATTAGGAAGGGTTATTACGACTATCAAGCTCAACTGCCCTGTGAATGAGGATTTGAAATTTTGGAAAAAAACATCCCTTTTTTTAACACCCTGTAGTATAATGCTATATGCACAATATCGTATTCTCAAATTTAGACCTAAGTCAAAGAATCCACTATTGCTTACCTTACTTACCTTAGGGAGGGGTATTACGACTATCAAACTCAACTGCCTCATGAATGGGAATAACTTGAAATTTCGGAAAAAATACATCTTTTCGTTTAACACCCTGTAGTATAATGCTATGTGCAAAATATCGTATTCCCAAAATTAGACATAAGAGTCAAAGAATCAGCTATTCAGAATTTTCAAAGATTTTTAAAATCAATTCAGTAATTTTCCAATAACGAGCTTTCAAATATTTTCCAAAAAACTAAGTGCGTCGATTTTTATGACGAGCAGTTTATGTCGATTGTGGCTTCATAATTATTACAAAATTTATAGAGCATAAATTACATAAAATTTGTAAATGATAGCTTTCATAGGCTAATTAACGTTCAAAGTTTAATTTTTTAAAATATTAAATAAAACAAAATTTATAAAATTCTCATAAATTTACGTTAGTTAAATAAATTTAATAATATAATAAATTTATAAAATTTCTTAAATCACCAAAATTTTCAAAAAATAAAAAAGCTTGCGGTTGTAATTTTTGTCGCTAGTACGATAAAGTTTTTGTCATACACTTGTATTATAATATACTATTATATAGGGTGTCCCAAAATCACTGGACCGAATGAAAAGGGTCTCTTCTATCTAAGCAGCTTTCGACAATAAGCACAGAATTTTTTTTTGTTGCTTGATGATAAAATATCAGCGTCTTCTGCAGGCACTAAAAATATAACAAAAACTCATATGGTTTGTTCATTGGTCCCTTTAAAAATTAAATATGGAATCGACCACTTTCGTCTGGTCCGGTGATTTTGGTACCCTGTATGTACAATTGGCGTCTCCGAAATGTGAACGATTTTTTGTTGTCATGGATTTTTTTCATAAAATTTATTCGTTCATTCCTGGCTTCGGCCAGTGGTGTTACATATAGAAGGGAGAATACTAAGAATAAGAACAATATCCTAAATCGTTCTATTTTTTTAATAATATTTTAACAAACAATAATATAAACAATATAACAAATAAATTAACTTTAATTTGGTTTTATACAACAATATAAATTAACAAGTAGGTAAATACACAATAAAAATAACATAACTAAATTAACATATTGCTCAAGAAAATTGGTTTTTAAGTGAAATAGCGGCAGATTTAAATGTCAGTAAAAGCTGCATATTTTATATCAAAAAACGTTGGCAAAAACAACAAAGATTGAGAAGACCTATCAGGCAAGGTGTAGGTAAAATCTCCAACGAAAATGAAGACAATGCTCTTGTCGCACTTATTAGGCAAAATCCTTTCAATAGCGCATTTAAGGCCCGAGAAGATACACAATTTCCAGGATCTCTTCGAACAGCTCAAAAAAGATTGAAACAAGCTGGCTTAAAAAACTGTGCTGCTAAGCTATTTTAATACTTAATTGCAGAGCCATTAGCTGCCACAACCCTTTGCAACCTTCTTGGCATGGACATTATTAGCTCACGCATGTCGTATGAATCAGCAAGCTCATCCCAAGAATTTTCAACAGCACTCCATAGTTCATCTCGGTTTGCTGGCCTAAAGTCCGTTGATATATATTTTTAACTATAAAACCCCACACGTTTTCAATGGGGTTTAAGTCAGGGCTTCTAGCTGGCCATGGCAAAACAGTTATGTGGTTGTTGTTTACCCACTCTGTAACCACGCGAGCTGTGTGAACTGGTGCATTGTCCTGTAATATAATATTTATTAGAATCGTTTTTGAATACTATACAGTTTTCTTACATGTTGAAATATAAAGTTTTCTGGAAACACATGTCTAACTGAAGGTAGCATAACGTTGTCCAAAATCCTGGTATAGTGCTCAGCCGTTAATCTACCATCAATTTCCCAACATACTCCCGGACCATGGATGCTTATCCACGCCCAAACATTTATGGAAAAGCGTCCACTATTTGAGGTTTTTAATGTATAGTTCTCCTCAAATCTTGCGTTTCTTGGACGATATACACGCAGCCTTCCATTATTGCAAGATTGGAACGTTTTTTCATCCGAAAATATAACATTATTCCAAAAATCTTCTCCATAATTTAAATAGTCATTGGCGAACTGGACTCTCCTGCGCTTATTTTCTTCAGTTAAAAAAACCTTATGAGCAGCAGCACAGTTTTTTAAACCAGCTTGTTTCAATCTTTTTTGAGCTGTTCGAAGAGATCCTGGAAATTGTGTATCTTCTCGGGCCTTAACTGCGCTATTGAAAGGATTTTGCCTAATATGTGCGACAAGAGCATTGTCTTCATTTTCGTTGGAGATTTTTCCTACACCTTGCCTGATAGGTCTTCTTAATCTTTGTTGTTCTTGCCAATGTTTTTTGATATAAAATATGCAGCTTTTACTGACATTTAAATCTGCAGCTACTTCACTTAAAGACCAATTTTCTTCTAATTTGGCTATTGCCCTGGACCTCTGAGCCTCGGTTAAGTGGGGTGGCATTTTTAATATTGCAATTGACAACTATTATCAAATTTGACAACTACCGACGACACTGATGCAAAGCCCATATTACACGATTAAATTTTGCCGTTCACATTTCGGGGACGCCAATTGTACGTAAATACATAAAAATACGTATCAGCAAGCCACATTAAATTAAACATTAAATTATTTGTGCAGAAATAAAATGTTAAACATTACAAATATATATGGGTCATTCCTTATCAAATCACCAAATTTTAAAAATTGCATTTTTGATTGAGTTAAATTTTTGTTATGTTTTTTTACGTATCAAAATACGCCTAACCCTAAATTTTGAGCCCTTAATTTTCAAAAGCCCCGAAGATATGAATTTTTGAAAATCGCAAAAAAAATAACGATACGGTAATTTTCAGAAATTCATAACTCCTGCTTAAATTATCGTAACCTCATTTGACCGGTGGCTATTTTCTTCGTTTTGAAATGTAGATTTGAAAAAAGTATATAAAAACCAAAATTTTTTTTCACTGTTTTTAGAAAATTAGAAAATATTCAAAAAACTCGAATTTATGGTTAAAAAAATACTAAAGAGTGGGTTAAAAAATCGAAGATATTTGAATCCCACTTTCATTATGGGCAGTCTAGTAAAACATATATTTTTTCAAAATTTAAGTTAAAAGTTAAGAAAAAACAGTGAAAAGAAAAAATTTAGGTTTTTAAATATTTTTTCAAAAACTACATTTCAAAACGAAGAAAATACCCACCGGTCAAATGAGGTTAATATAATTTAAGCAGGAGTTATGAATTTCTGAAAATTACCGTATCAGTATTTTTTTGCGATTTTCAAAAATTCATATTTTGGGGGTTTTTGAAAATTATGGGCTCAAAATTTAGGGTTAGGCGTCATTTGAAACGAACAAAAATTTAACTAAATCAAAAAATACAATTTTTAAAATTTGGTGATTTGATATGGAATGATCCATATGTATGTGTATTCGTATGAAAAGTCGGCAAAAATAAGTTTTACTTGTCTTTTATTTATTCAAGACTGAAGATATATAACGAACATGAAAATGATGAAAAATTCAACAAGAAAGAAATTGGAAATAAAAATAAAACAAACAAATAATATATGAATACTGACACCGAGCAAAAAAGTAGACGTGGCATTTTATAGAGAGATAAAATGAACAAAAAGAAATTTGCTTTCTTATACTGATACACAAATGTGTTTTAGGGTAGGGTGAAAAATTTGCTAACTAGAGGGCAAAATGATCCCTAATAACAAGAAGCCATTATTCAGGAGTCAAATGCAAATGTAATGTAAGTTTTAAAATGTGAAGTATAAATAAGCAGTGATTAATCGTAAAAATACTGAAAATTACCTTTTTCACAAACGTATCCAGCAACAGTGATTCCCAGGCCCAAGTCGTCTTTTTTCAGTTCTACAGTAAAGGTTTCAGTTTCAGGCAAGTCCGGCTCGTGTAGCGCCATATCGAGAGGCAACATTTTTGGTGCAATATTTTGCACCAATGTTTGTATCGGCGCCACTGGGACATTGCCGATTGGTAAAGGATCTTTGCAAACATCAACAATACCGGAAATAGGCTAAAAGAATTATCAAAATATTAAATTTATAAAAAATTCAATTTTTATTTTTGCAATAACAAATCGTCGATGGCCAATGTGTTTTTGTTGCTCCGGAATGACTTTTTTGTTTTACTTATAAAGAGTATATAGGTCTTGTATAATTAAAAGAAGTTTCTATATTTAACAAAAATCTTTTATTTTCTATGCTCCTAAAATATAGAAGCAAAAAAATATACTTGCAATGTTCAGTTGATATTTTAAAATTTATTGAGTTGGATTTTGGGTTGTTTTGAGGGGTGGTGAATCCAGTGCTTAGATTTTGTTTAAAAAAAATCGCTAATATGGATTTCTTAAAAACTGATATATTAGGCCTTGTATTTTGTAAAAATATGGCTCCAAAAATACAGTTTATCAAGATCTAGACTTTAAAACAATTCCGGTTAAAATCGCACAATAAATAAAGACATTTTTTTACATATGGTATATACGTAATTTTGACATATAGCAAATATAGGACCAATATAAATTTTCTACATTGGGCCCACACTGTACAATAATACGTACCTATTTCAGTTATTGAAGTTTTTTCGGCAAAGAAATATCAAAAACTGAAATAAGTAATAATTTACAGTGTGCCCAACTTAAAAAATTTATATTGGTCCTATATTTACAAACTAAAATGGTAAAATATATGGCACAAATATTGGGTAAATATTGCATTTAAATATTGGATTGGTATTAAATACAAATATTGGTCCTATAATTATAAAATAAAATGGTAAAATAAATAACACCTATATTGGGTTAATATTGTATATCAATATTGAATAATAATTAAATACAAATGAAAATCTGACGTTTCCATCATTGGGCCAATATGTAAAAATAATATTTTAGCAATACTGGGGATGTCATGTTTTGAATTCAAATAAAAACAAAGCATTCAAACCAATTCTCTCGAGCGCGGCTTTGACTTATCAGGCGCGGAGCTTTGCAGTAAAAAAATAACGTAAAAAAAAATTATCATTATATCATTATACATAAAAAATAATAATAGTATATTATGTATCAAGTTTGATCAACGCCATTTTAGTCACGAATTTTAAGTAGGCACGAGCAAAGCTTGCGAGCGAGTGTTTAATAAAAATGATTGTTCAGGAAAGGTTATAAACGAGTTGCATACTATACTTTTTCTATGACGAACAATAATTTTGTTATAATCAAATAAATTATTTATATAGTGCGACATTTAAACAAAAATAAAGTAACTAAAATTGTTGTAAGGAATTTGTTTTGCCGGCTTGTCTGTCTCAGCACACGTAGCTATTTATTTTTTACAGGATGTTGTATATTTTGGTATATTTACGACTATGGAATGTAATATAAATTATTTATTTATTTATTTAGGTATATATTTATTTCTTCTAAATACTTACAAAGTACGTGCAAAGAAGAAAAATACATACAAAATACGCATATTACCACTAAGTAATATTAAATGTTAAACAACAATTTTTTTAAATATGTTTTAAATTTATAAAAATTATTAATAAAAATATCACAGTTTATTTTGACTAGAGGCGAATTTATTTGGCTATTTATTCGGGGATATGAGTAGTTTAAAATGTGAGTATTTCTTAATCTTGTATCAAGTACTTTTATAAAAGTTTTAAAAGATAATTAAGTATTTTATAAATAAAAACGAAGCAGTCATATTTTTTTCTTGTTAGTAAGCTATTTATACCATACTCATTGACTTCAGACAGATGGATATGATCCTATTAGTATAAAATGATAAAGTTTTAGAAATTTATTTTCTCATTTTTCAATAAGGTTAATTATTTTTTGATAATATGGGAGTTTCATATAAGCATTTAAATACCTTGCACCTTGCTTTAATTAACGAAATCGACAAAATCAGTTAATTGTTGTGACTGATATTTGATAAAAATTGCGAAAAATATTTCCTTTTTTTAACTCCTTGATATAAAACAACAATTTTTCATGGTTTACTCCCCATCCCGAACCGTCTCTTCCACTTAATCCTCGAATTTGAATCCTTAACTCAAGCATAAAATATTTATCTTTAAATGGCTCAAATACCTCCACGTAAGACAGAATAAATAACATTTATCGAGATTTGAACGCTTGGCTGTATACATATAAAAATCAGAACATACATCAACTTTGACTTCAAATTCTTTAAGGAGATATTGACCCGTTGAGAAGTATATAGCACCTTGAATTTCCTATATTGAATTCCTATTTATCACAAAATATTCAAAGACTGGAGGTAAAAAGGTCCATGTAAGATCAGGTGTTGAACATACATCAACTTTGACTGAAAATACTTCAGATAGGTATTAAGAAACAGTTTACAAATGTGTATTTAAAAGATCCTAAAAACATGTACGATAATGGGCGTTTTAAAGGTGGGAGTAGAAAAAATTATTTATGGTTTATGCAGTTTAAAACTATTACTACCCACCCAAAGTAGTTTTTGTTTTCCAAACACTTAATCCTATTATTAGATTTATGTTGAATAGAGTGCCTCTAAAATTTTTTTACATATTTATTTCAAATTTTATAATATCCGAAATAGAACTAAATAAAAGACAAAAGTGTTTGCCCAGCTCTCGTATTCTGGAAAAACAAATTCGATGATATGTAAATCTGCGCTTCAATTACAGTTTGGAAAATGCGAAATACGTGTAAAATGAGAACGGGATGAAAAAAATACTGAAAGATTTATTTTTCTGCTTGGGCGGCATGTTTTCTACAAGATTTTATGACTGGATTTTATTTTGTTCAAAGGTCTTACCAAAAGACTTGGTAATCATGAAACATAATCATCATAAACAAAAAAAACTTTTTATATTTTTACCATTACCATTTTCATTTGAAACAAAAATTTTATAACAGTTTATAATATATTTATAATATTTATATTTTATTTAGAGTCATTCTATCATTTTTCACCAAATTTGACAAAAATTTAAAGCTGACATTGGATGTTCTTAAAACTTTCAGGGTATGAAGACCAATGCTTAGGATAACCAAAATCCACAATAATATTTCAACTGCCTAGTTAAAGTAAAAATTGTAAAAATTATGAAACAGTTTTGAATATTTGGAATCTATCAAAACTGTAAAAAAGATATTTAGCTCTTAACAAGCACCGTACTCATCAAAGCGAAAATAACACTGGGCGTGAGAATATTTTCAGAAGTGATTTGTTTGATTTTACTGCGAAAGACGCTTTGACTAAAATAAATAACCTTGACGACAAAGTTTTTCTTCAAAAGCAAAGAGAAAAATTTTAAGTAGCAAGAGTAGTGCTGAGCTTAAAACTACAGCAAGGCAAAATGGAAAGAGACATCGTGAAGAAAACAAAATAAATTTAAACATAAATATGCAGAAAGGAAGAGTAAAGATACGACAATTTTACAACCATCTACGTCTTCTTCTGAAAACCCTGAAATATAAGTGTAAGTTTATGTGAGATATATCTCCAATATATTGGAATAAATAAATCTCTACTTGGAGTTAAAAACACTGCTTTTAAGAGGCATCGTTAGATTATTTTAGAGCACTTAATAGACGAGTGTCTGCAAAAACTAAAGAAATTATGGTAAAAAACCTAAAGAGTTTTAAATTGCCTGATTGCTCACGTCGAATTTATTAAACTGTACCATGGTACCTGCAGCTATATGCATTTATTATTGTGGTTCGACAGTGTGATTAAAACACGCACTGGTTTATTATTCAATCTTCAAAGTTTTATATGCACTTTGTACTGACCTTTTGATTTCGCCGGTAGTAGGACCTACTGCATATAAAACTTTGAAGATTGAATAATAAACCAGTGCGTGTTTAAACATAGTACCTACTAAGTAGGTACTATGCTCCACAGATTGGGTTTGATAGAAATAATGAAGGTTAATTTTCTGTCAATGTCAAGCTAATTTCGTCCTATTTTCTGAAAATAATGCAATTTATTTTTGTGCATAAAGGTCTTAATTTATAAATAGGACAAAGTTAGCTTGACACTGAGAGAAAATTAACCTTAATTATTATTATTACAAGTCACATGATGGGATTTTAATGTATGGAGCATAGTACACTTGTATTTACCGATAATTATCGCTTTAAAGCATTAAAGTAGGGTAGAATAGAGTACCCATAACACATCCTCTTCACTTTCACCGTAAAAAAATGTGTCTATATCGGATTTTAACGGTTGTTTGTCCATTTCAAAACATAAATTTCGATCTTTACAGTAAAATTTAAGTAACTGACATTTTAAAAGCCAGATTCACAGGTTACTCTATTTTTGTATAGATGACCCTCTATACAAATATTTAAATTAATTAGTAATAAATCGTTTTTTTACTTAATAATATTTGCCGTGAAATAAGTATAGTAGATATGCAAAAATTTTATTAAACACTCGCTCGCAAGCTTGCTCTTGCCTAATTTAAATCCGTGACTAAAATGGCGTTTATTAAACTGTATAAAGTAATATACTATTTAACCCCTGGTAAATTGTTAGTTAAAATTTATAAATGTTACACAACAAAAATCCTTGATCTGTAAAATATCGCATATCTTTCCCAACAAAAAAATATACAAAAACCGTTTTAACTAATGTAGAATAGAATATGGATGTCAACAGCCGCTTTATGGTATAATTTATTTGCACCCCGCTGTTTTCTGCGTTTCCTTTATACGTATACTTCCAGGAAGCGAAATTATTTTAGTTGGACTTGATTTAATGCCACGCGCTTAAACTTTATCGGGGACTAAACTTAACTAAAGAGTTTACTTAATTTAATAAACTTGCTAGAGAATTGAAATAAGTTTTCGTGATATGTTTGGGTTTTGGATAAAGGTAATGCCATAAAAAAGATTTAGTTAATATTAAATGAGTTGTTAATTTATTTATTTGAGGTTTTTTAATTCATATGGTTAAATGTCGTTTTAAACTTTTATTTATTTTATTTCATGTTTAACATGTA